AGTATCATAAGACAGTAGTTGCTAAAATGTTGCTCTCTCAGTTCAAGAGTAAGTAAAATAGAGCCCTTTTATTTCAAGAGCTTCGGTTCTCTGTATTTCTCACAACTCACTACAGTGGTTTGGTCTTCTGGGAGTTGTGGTCCATTTTCCGCCTACTTATGTTGTAGTATAAGTAATAGGCTCACTGGTTTGTGTCGTGGTTCTTGCTAGAAGTATTGGCTTAAGAATTCAAGCCAGGAGCTTTGCTGACTTTTTACCCCTGACTTTGCACAGGTCATCATCATCATTTATCTCTCAGTGATTGGAGCCCTTCTACTTTATATGGTTTTTCTGATGGTGGTTGACCCTCTCATCCGCAAGCCTGATGCTTATGCCCAGCCCCTGCGCAATGAAGAGGAGAGTGAGGTGAGACTGAGTCTTTGTTATAAACACAGAGCAAATTGGTCTTCGTTTTGCTTCAAGAGATGACAAAAAGTGTCACTGTGTAGAGACTCAATCCTTTTAAAGCAAAGGTGGGCATCTTCAGCCGGGATAGGGGGCACTAGCTGCCACCACCAAGGTTTGGTCATGTATCTGCATGGAGTGGCAACCTGCACTCAGAAACTGGGATAACACCCTGGGCCCCTCTAAAAATTTGAACTCCTGCTATATCCCTCAAAAAATGTGGGTTTTCCACAGTTTTTAAAAACAAGAACTGTGGAAAGGACCCACCCAATGCAGTATAGCCAAAATCTAAAGCAATCTTGCTTTAGAGGAGAATTGGTATTCCTGGAGGCCTCAAGACTGTTATGTCTAATTTTTAAGCAAAGAAATGTTGGGGGAAAGAGCAGTTGGTCAAGGAAGGTCACCACTGCATGGAGATGTTTTTTTTCCTTGCTAATGATGAGATAATTTTCTCTCAAGTATTTCAATGGGGCGTATACATATAAACATGTGCTATGTTCCAAATATCCTCCCATATGATAACACAGAAGATTTCTGCGGTGCATCGGCCTTTTCTTCCATGCCCTGGCTGTGTCAGACAATTCTTCTTTTGGTGTTGCAGGATACCCATTCCTTGGCAGCTGTGCGTCCTCCTGCTGGCAGCAGGGCAAACACGGTGCTGGAGCGAGTGGAAGGAGCCCAAGAACGGTGGAAGCGTCAGGTCCAGGAGCAGCGGAAGACTGTGTTTGATCGGCACAAGATGTTGAGCTAGAGATTGCTTGGAGTTTGCTGTCCAAAAGAGAGGAGCAGCTGCTGGTTAGCTAGACAGATGTTTTCTGTTAGCCAGTCCCAGTCCCTAAGGCCTGTAGTTTAAGTGTGTTGCCCCTGCCCTTTCTTTCCTGGTTGTTTTGTTCATTTTCTTCCCCATTTCAGTCCCACTGAGTAAGTGACATTGAGGAAAGCCACTGGTTATGCGTCCCAAGTGTTCTGAACCTGTTAAGGCAGGAGCATCCGCCTCATCTGCCCTGCTGTCTAAAACTCTGCTTCACTCAAAAAAGCTTGAGTGTTGCTGCTTAATTTCTGTGTGACCTGTGGAAATTGGGAAGACCAAAATTTAGTTTGTTTATTTATTTATTGTTTATTTGTTTATTCAATATATATACTGCCCACACTACCCAAAGGTCTCTGGGCGGCTTACAACAATTTAAATACAGTGAAAGGATAAAAAGATAAAACAATTAAAAAGCAATTAAAAATACAGTGTTCTAAAAATTGCCATCAGGATCCACAGTTGATATTATTTCAATTAAAAACCACCTGGAACAGGAAGATTTTGACTTGGTGCCAAAACATCATCAACGTTGGTGCCAGGCAAATCGGACTCGGGGTGGCGTTCCATAGTCTGGGGGCAGCTGCCGAAAAGGCCCTTTGTCTACAAACCGGCCCTCTTACCTCCTTGAGGCATGACTCTTTCAAAAGGGCTCCCTGGCTAGATTTTAATTGACGGGTAGTTTCATAGGGAATGAGGCGGTCCTTCAGGTATCGAATTAGTTGCAGCCTATCTAACTGTGGAATGGTAGACAGTGGCAAATATTGCCTAGTATTATAATCTGCTAAACATAGGTCTATCTTGACAGTGAAAAATGTGGTGGTGGGTTTTTTGTTTCTTTGTTCTGTTTTTCATCTGACCGTGGATACATTATTAATCAAATTAGAGAGGCAGTGTCTGTTTCATTAGTGTGAAGCCTTGTGTAAGAACCTTCACAGCTGCAAGAGGCTTACAGAAATGTGGTCAGGTTTGAAATAGAGATTTGCCTTGGGAGTCTGGCATTGGTCATGAACATAAACCTTCAATGTTGAATCTTTCAGGAACTCTTTCAGGTTAGCTAACCATGGGCCAAAGAAACACAAACAAATGAGTCAGCTTGTTCACATGTAGTGTTAACCCTGGCTTTGCACAATGCTCGCATGAGAAGCTTGTGCAAGGAAAACTGTAATTCTGCATGTAGAAGGCCTCATTTGCAATGTAAAAACTAATCTCTGTATCCTATGAAAGTTATTTCATGAAAAACGAAAGGAAAAGGTTCAGGTTTGAATTTGGCTTTATAGATGCCAGTTCAGATCTGAGTATTCATGTCTGCAGTAACTATTTTATCTACATCAATTTCAATTTGACTCACTGCTCAGTTATTTCCAGTGCTAGGGCTGGAAAAAGTTATATTTTTTCTACTACAGCTAATTCTTTGTAGTTCAGAAAAGTAGCCTGTCCAAGCTGTGGACGTTATGTCACATGCAACATAATTCTTAACAATTTGCCATGCTAGTTGCGGGATTCTGCACATTGTAGTCCAAAACACAAAACTTTGCAAACTCAAGACAGGTAAGATTTTGCATATACCATCATTCCTGACCCCTGGTCTCTCTGTCTAGGATTGTTGCGAGTTGGAGTCAAAAACATCTGGAGGGCATCAGGTTGCCTATCCCAATGTACATATTTGTTCTTACCATGTCCACAGTTGAGTGCCCAGGTACCTTTGTGCCACTAGCAAAGGGAAGAAACGTTGACCTTGGTCCCTTTTCATAATGTAATGTAATGATTTCTCAAATGAAAACATTGCCAGCAAGATTTCTTAAAGGATTCTTCGCATGAGAAAGTGTTCTTTATATGTTAAATGATCTGTTTTATTTATTTAGGAACCTCTGGCATATTAGGCCAGTATTTGTAACTATGCACATATTTCCATTAAACAAAGGAACTGATGTGTAACACTTGTGTCTTGGGTGGTATGGATAATCTTTTCAGGTTAAAAGAAAAAACACCAAACCTTATTTTAGAAAATGGTTAGACCTATGTAGCAAAGGATATACAGTGGTACGTTCTGAAAATGGTATCCCCTATGGACGATCGCTGGACGACAAGGTAATTTCCCTATTGGGAAAATGGTATCCCCTATGGACGATCTTCGCTGGACGACAAGGTAATTTCCCTATTGGAATGCATTAAACGAGTTTCAGTGCATTCCAATGGGGAAAGGCTTTTTGCATGATGATGATTTCGCTTAACAGCGATTTCCCCAGAACGGATTATCGTCATCGTGCGGGGCACCACTGCACACAAAAGACTATGAAACTGTCCCAAAATAATGCAAGCTTTAATCAAGTCATCACAATCTCTAAAGGAAGTGTTAATTAGTTTTTGAAGGGAAGAACATACAAGGGAAATGCATTTTATTTCATTTCAGCCATCCTCTTCTATTTTCTCATGGCACATTTCTGCAGTAAAATACACAGATGAGACTCAACTGCTCCCTCATGTGGATTGTCTTGTGGTCTGTATAAATCACTCTTTTCTATAACCATGGAGGCATTTTGTCATTTTAAGCCAGTCAATAATCTCTTTGGTCAAATTAAAGTTCTGGTCAATCAAAATAATACTTATTGAGTGCCCCTGTATTTTTATTTGTACTTTTGCTGTTGACTCAGCAAAGCAATGGGAAGGAATGTTGATGGCATTAGTTCATGAAAGCTTTACACCATCATACGTTCGTTAATCTTTAAATTGCTACCAAAGTCTTTATTGTGAGGGAGAGGGAGTGGCTACAACACACTGGCAGAGCAATTCTCAGTGGGATGGAATGGGAAATCTGCCATGAAGCTGTTGCCGTCAGGAGTCTTGTCAGCTGCCAAGGAACCAGGAAGTGAAGTGAAGTCCTGTCAGTTTCTCTTCCTGTGGCAATCCATTTTTCAGTTTGCTCGTGTGTGTGTGTGTGTGTGTGTGTGTGTGTGTGTGTGTGTGTGTGTGTGTGTGTGTGTGTGTGTGTGTGTGTGTGTGTGTGTGTGTGTGTGTGTGTGTAATTGGCTGTCAAGTTGAAACCAACTCATAAGCAGCCCTAATAGGAGTTTCAAGGTAAGTGATTTTACCATTCCCCACCACCACCAGTAAGTTTCTATGGCTCAGGAAAGTTTTGAACCCTGTTCTCCAAAGTCCTAGTCCATCACTTTATCCACTGTACCACATTGGGAATCTATAGGTTGCCCTTCTATAGAAGTTAAAAAATAGCAGCTGCTTCTGCATGAGAGTGGCATAAGTGAAGGGTCTAATCCTGGACCTCCCAGTGAAATGGAGTGGGTTTAATTCTAGTGGATCCATAGCTCCCAACTCCAAATGCTCTGCATGGGAGCTTACTACTATCTGCAGAAGTGTTCAGGAGGCTGGCTGTGGTAATCTGTGACAGCAGCAGCAGCAACAAACCAAAGCAAGAATTTTGTGGCATTTTAACGTGGCCTACTTTTCCCAGCACATGGAATGTGTAGCCTAAGTAGATGAGCGTGGAATGAAGGGGGCAGAAGCAATAGATGGCCTGACAGATCTCCCTGTATATTTTCTCACTGACACCACTCCTGGGGCAGAGTCTGAGGAAAGCCAAATAGCCCTGTGCTGTCCACAAAAGGGTGTGATTCCCAGGCATAATGCATGTGGTGCAAGCATTGCTCAAACTACATAGAAATTCTCAGAAAGGGGACAATTATCATCCACATCCCAAGTGGGGGCAGCTACTCAACACACCAATCTGCTACAAAAGGGATATTCAAAACCCAATAGTTTCTACTAGAGATATCCACTGTATTTGGCCAAATGGGCCAATTCACAGGTATTCGAGTGATTTGGGGGTGATCAAGGGCCACAGACAAGAGCCATAGTTACACACACACACACACACCACACAAGCAACCTTCCAACAGGTTCTTCGTGTTCTGCCTGGTGCTTGTAAAGTTAAAACTTTCAAAAGATCATTAGCAATTTGAGGAAAAGGAAGATCAAAAGAAGTACACAGCATCTACAGACTGAGCTGCCTGCACCCAAAGTAAAGGCATGTGGCAGCTCAACCTCCCAGTAAAGCTTCATATCTCTTCAATGAGGCTGTAGGGATGGTTAACTGTCTGCTACAAATCCCCTTGCAGTCATTTTATGATCCTTTTCACGTTTATGAATATTCTCTTCCAAGCTTGCTTTACTATAGCTGCAGGGCAAAAGATTAGAATTAATGTTTGCGTTCATGAATATTCTCTTCCAAGCTTGCTTTACTTGACTACATTTTTAAGATTAAGTACATATGAATACATAGTGAATGTGATTGGTATGGATGGACGCTAATATGAGCTTTGAGAGGATAGGCCATTAAGCTGGTCTCCTTCCCACCATATAGGAATGTGTGAGAACCATCTGGGGAGGATTGTCCAACTCCTGGATTCGTCGTCATTTAGTTATTTAGTCGTGTCCGACTCTTCGTGACCCCATGGACCAGAGCACGCCAGGCCTTCCTATCTTCCACTGCCTCCCGGAGTTGGGTCACATTCATGTTGGTTGCTTCGATGACACTGTCCAGCCATCTCATCCTCTGTTGTCCCCTTCTCCTCTTACCTTCACACTTTCCTAACATCAAGGTATTTTCCAAGGAGTCTCCTCATGAGATGGCCAAAGTATTGAAGCCTCCTGGATTAGGTGAAGAAAATAGCCTTGGCAATGGCATGTTTCCTTACATGGGATTCATGGAAGGGTAGATGCCCTGCATGGGGACTGGGAAAGTAAGCGGAGTTCAGTGACTTCAGAGGCTAGAGGTTTACCTCCCTCCAGGTACAGTAATGGAGAGAGGCATGCTGTAAAGGCACACTACTTCCTTTCTTTTCCTTTGGAGTTGACTGGACTCCATGCCTAACATTTTTGTTATATGCCTTTGAGTCAGAACTTAGAGTGACCCTAATAGGGCTTTCAAAGCAAGTGAGGAGTGGTTTTAATAGTTCCACACTCCCAGTGATCTGTTGTGGAACAACCCCACTGAAGAAGGTAACAGTGATTATCGAGGTCTCATTGTTGGTTGCAAAGGGCCTCCATAACAGTTCAAGGTTCAGGGCCCCTAAACTGTAGGTCCACCATATAGCTCACCATAGATTGTAGTTGTTTGCATTCCCCATTTGTGGGAACTATTTATATGGAAACCTTGGAAAGTAGAAATAACATCATAGACCTGGTCAGGTGGCTTCCTCACATGCTTAGTTTCTGCCATGCTAACACGACTCAAGAACTATCAATAGACTGCATGAAATATGAGATATTGTGGCGGGCCTTTTGTGGTTGATGCCATAGAAAATACAAACAAGGATATGGTGTTAGGATCCCTAAGTATACT